ATGTATGTATATATGTATGTATATATGTATGTATATATATGTATATATATGTATATATATGTGTGTGTGTGTGTGTGTGTGTGTGTGTGTGTGTGTGTATATATATGTATATATATGTATATGTAATGTTTACAACATGAGCAACCATGTTGTATCGGATATACAAACTCGATCCGAAAAACAACTTAAAAAACGACTCATCGTATGAGTTCATTGGCGAAGTAATTTTAAAAATAAACGTTGTCTAAGCCGAGAAAATCAAAGTTAAAGTTTATGTAAATCAACATGAATCTGTATCACATATACAGATACGACACGTTTATGATTTTTCTTTGTGTTTTCTTCATGAATTATTGAGTTTTTTAAATATATATATAAGGTATTAGAACATATAAAAGAACTTATGAAACAGTTAATAGGATTGCATGGTGATAAATTTATAACACTTTTTGTTTGTGGAAACACCACGTAAATTTATTAATGCAAAGCTTTCGATCCGTAAGCCCGGATCTTCATCAGTGCTAACGATAGCACTTTTCTTTAGCACTTATGAAGATCTGGGCTTACGGATCGAAAGCTTTGCATTAATAAATTACGTGGTGTTTCCACAAACAAAAAGTGTTATAGTTAATAGGACTTTGTACTTAACTAAATAATTAAAATAGTAAGAACTTTAGAATATTAAAACTTTAGGAATATTATATTCTTTAGAATTTTTTATGAAAACAATAATAAAAAAAAATACTTATGTAATATGTGTATTGATATTAATTAGTATTCATACTAATGAGCTAAACTAGTGCTAAAAAAGCAATATAGAGCTTAAGCTAGAGGTTGTTGTTTTGACTTGAATAAAGAACTAACATATCTTACAATCAGGTCATCTGAACCCCCTATAGTTAAACCCATTTCTTCTTCATGTGTTTGATGCACTACAGTATGCAAGAGTGATATCATTTGGCTTACATCAATATAAAAGAATGGAAAAAACTATAAGAACAGACATCTATTACAATTCATACTGCCAATCAAAGTTTGTTGGGATTATACATGGGGGGGGGGGGCTTATGTACAGGGACCCGTATATACTTTTATCGTATCTTTAAACTATAATGTGAACCATTACCTCAGTCAAAACATGTTCATGACCAGTGGCAGAAAAATTTACTACAATATAGAAGACTAGAAGTGATGATCATTCCTATATATACCGATGTTAAAGAGATGTTCGAAATAATTATGAGAAAACTGAGTAAGCTAGACGAAATAGACAGCCGTGTTAAATCGATTGAAAATGATCTGAAAATATTATTCATATCCAAGCACTGTCTTCACAAAAATTTACCCATAGCATAGCTATTATAACACTGGAATATGCTGTTGAATCAGATTCGAATTCAAAATATATAGATATTGGGGCACCAAAGAACGAACAATAACGAACTGTTTTATCAGACGAAACACGATGATGTCCATAAAGGGACATAATCGGAACAGCTCTCTTTGAGTTCTGTAAACATGCTTTGAGTACCGCAACTCTTTCCTGTTGCCATATTTCATATTTGCAAGTATTCAGGTTGTTGGCTTCTTTATTGCCGAAATATTTGAATATTTATTAGTTCTCAATGCAGGATGAAGTAAGGTATCTACTACATTAATTGCTATTTATTCCCCCAGAAGAGAGAGTACAATCTCATCTCAGGACTATATTGTAATAGAATTTTATTTTGCTGGTTTACAACTTGTATATAACATACATGAGAAAACTTTTGTCTTGAGTTAACAGGGCGGACTTTTGTCAACGCATGCGTGAGAAACGTAAGCGTGGAGTGCACATGAGCGTAGGTTAATCGCATGACTAAATTATAAAAGCAAACATCAAATTTGCCAAAACTACTCCTGTTATGAAGTTGTTTTCTTAATTCCGCAGTGCAAATATACCTGTTTCTAATATGTATATTCTTTTTGAAGTAAGATATACAAGTGCAGATTGACCTTCTTTAAACTCGTACTTCCCTATTTTTCACTTCATAAAAATTACTTTTATCCATGGAGAAACTATTTGACTCTAAAAATAAGCTTGAATTTTTGTGGTGATATAGGCTCATTTCTTTGCAAACAGTGATTTAGTACTCGGTAGTGTAGATGTTGTTTATGAACAAAAGTCTAAATTGAATTCAACATCCATCAACAAAAAGGAATCACGCTTATTACTACTCTGTAGAGGATAGACAATTAATTTAATTCACTAACAACCCGTTCTACAATATAAACTAGAAATCGGCCAACATATTTCCACAAAATACTACAATGAAAATAGGGTCTCTGAACTACCAATTTCACCGAACAGTCTAGTTTCTCTGCAAAGATCGTCCTTTTGCCCAATTTTCCTCGAGTAGATCATCGTGTTTTTAAGTCAAGGATTATGTATACTTTAACATAAAAGAATAAAAAAGGGGTGATAAAGGGTAGATTTTGAATAAATAACAAGTATCTGTATACAAGATCCGAGCGTTATTATGAAGCACTCGATACTTTCTCCAACAATATATTGCGTTTATTTTTTTACAAAATTAAAAATATTCACACATTAAAGATACAAGAATGTAGCTTGCATTACAAAGAAATGTTGCTAAGTTATACCTTACACGTCGATTAAAGTCAAGTAAAGCCCTTTCAAAGATGCATGCCACATTAAACTACAGGTCACATGGCAGTAGAGAACTCGACGAAGTATTCACAATATTTCATAGGTAGTTCGAACGCCACTGTGTACTGTTCCTGTGAATTATCAACATGGTCTCTCGTTTCCTATGATGATATATAACATACAAACATCCGTGCACATATGATGCTATGCATCATATACGCGTAGGTTTGTATGACTAGTACCCAGATTCCATTGAATACCCATCCTACTCATCCTTGAAATAAATTCTTGCAATATGGCAGACCCACCGAAATCTGGAGATGGAAGAACTGTTCGATTTAAGACTCGAGAAATGGCAGAAGATCGTATTGCGGCAAAAATTGAAAAAATCTAAAAAGATGGTAAAGATTTTCGCAAGCCAAGGACAAGAAAAAAAAAAGAAGGGTCGTAAGATTTCTCGATAATTGTGGAAGACCAATTCCTGGGAGACGTCGCCGTCAAAGTGGGCAGAGAGACGTCTGGAAACTAGAAAGGGGAATCCATTAGAAACTTGCCATGGTAAAGTACATTATTCATAATGTTTATGTTCGTGGTGAATTGTTTAACTCTAGTTGTAGTAAATACTGTATTATACACTGACTGTGACCCATGCCACTGACCTGTTTAATATAAAAACTGTGATCACCATATTATGTATTTATGTAGATATACCTGCAATGGATGGGGATAATTTTGAAACTAATCCTGATGAGGCAGAGGGTTTACAAAATATTGATCAGTCACCAACAGGTATCAGATCTGTTTATTAGCAATTTATTTAGCAATTTATTAGTATTTTAATATATAGCAATTCAAATTAAATAATATATGAATATTAATTACAGTATTTAAGTCAGTTTGTTTATATATCAGTTTGTGTTTGATGTAGAGATGTACATGTATGTGATTAGCAAAGCTGTGTAATTTTAATATGTAGAATTTGTTTAAAGTTCATCAAATACTCACAACACCAATAATGTTGGTCCTTAGAAATAAAGTATATTGTGTTCCCTTTTTCCAGATGATGATTTATCAATGTTAATTGAAGAGTGTGAAAAGTTACTCGAAGTGGAGAAAATCAACAAGCAGCAAAATAAATGTAATTGGAAAAAGAGAATGGAAAATTTATCAACTAATTGGGAATCATGTCGGCAAAATATTTTTCACACTGTGTTATCTTCTGCTGCTGCTAACATCGATACCTGCTCTAGATGTTTAGTAAACAAGTGTGTCATATATTGTCAAGAGTGTCCTGATCCAAAGAGCTTATGTTCAGCATGTGATGAAGAAGTCCATCACAAATATCCATTGCATGACCGAGATGGGATATAATGGTTATTATAAAGCTCTTCCACCAAAATTATCAGTCACATGTGATGGACAACATAAAACAATAAGTATGTTCCTACTTTGTATTGTGTTACACTGGTATATAATCGGAGTCGTCTGTCTGTCTGTCTGTCTGTCTGTCTGCCTGCCTGCCTGCCTGCCTGCCTGCCTGCCTGCCTGCCTGCCCGCCCATATATATCCATCCAATCACATACACATGTATATAACTATATATGTGTGTGTGTATTGGTGCAAATGTGTTATTTTGTTGACAATTTTTACACTTTGTACATTTTTGTAGACCGCCCATTTCCCCCAAATATAGAACAATGCCCGTCTTGTAAATCTGTTGGCACAATGGTTCCAGTTGCAACTGAAAGTCAGTGCATTGTTATTACCATTAAAGATACTAAGAAATACTTGTATGACACTCATGATATGTACATTATTATGTTGTAACAGGCCTTAAAATCGATGAAATGAAACGTCAGAAACAATTAAAAATTTAATCTGGATGATCGTACAATAAATGAAATTAGGCCTGAAATTAGGCCATGTTAAGCGAAAATATTTCAGAACCAAACCCAAAATTAAGACCATCGGACATCATTTTAAAAATGTTTGACCCAGTCACAAAGATATAGGGCATTTTGCCAGATGGCTATGCTGCATGACCGATATTTTTAGGCCTAATTTTTGTGTGTTGGTGTTGTGTACTGAGGTGAATATGATGTTACTCTGAGTGTGTATCCACACCGGGCAAGCTTGGACAATATACCTGGCCACAGTGGGAATTGAACCTATGACCTTTGGAATACTAGCCCAATTTTTAGGCCTGGTTGTAATGTGAAATCTTTTTGAGAAGAACTGTACAGTGAACATTTAACATTTAAATTGGTTTCCCTCCTTATGAATTGGTGGGAACTATGTCATAATAAACACAGCTTTTTGTGAACCATAGGTTTTATCAAACTTCACTGGTTTTCAGTAAGATACCAGCCTTTTAAAGTACCATCTCTGCCAATCTCAGACAAAACAACTGTAGATGTACAAATGAGTATTAAAAGGGATTATATTTAATAGGAATTGATTTATTGAATAACATGTGAATTAAAGTTAATTAACAAACAAACCCAAATTATGAGAATAATAAACAGGAAAGAGATTTTAATGTTGCTAAAAGACAAGTCTTTACTGTAATAAATGCAATGATGATTAACTGTTTTACTGAAAATCCACTATACATTTTTAAATTTCAAACAATTCTATACCGTTATAAATGTTTGTTGTTGTCCTTGTTGTTATAATTCTTAATTTCATAGTGTTGTACAGTTGTTGTTGGAACTAGTTGTTTATATATTGTTGATTTGATGTATTATTGCAGGCAGGTTTGATTTGGACAAAGTGGATTTCAATTGCTCTGCTTGCCAGTGTTTGTGGTCGCCTTGGTCCTTGGAAAGTGTCATCAGATTTGGATTTTGGCCTGGGAGTCCCAGTAACATTATCCACATCTTTGATGCAAATTTATTGAAGCAAT